ATATAGAAATCAAAAATAGCACGACAGAGGAAAAAAAGAGCCAAAGGAAACATGGAATACTTACTACAGGAAACCTCGCTGAGGGTTGCAATGAGGTCTATATTTTCCCTTTTTTTTTCGTTTCTCCTGTACTCTTGCTTTAGAAACCCTACTTGTTTTCGTTTCGGGTGTTGCGTTGCGGAGCCAAAAAAACACCGTCACTCCCCCAGTCTTTACCCGGCGATGGAGGGAACCTCCACGAATAGTGCCTGTGGCATTGCGAGCGGCGTCGGTGGCGTCGCCAGCACGTCCTCCGGCACCGCCAGGCACGTGATGATCCGCGTGGCGGTGCACCACCCCTCCGCGACCGCCGCCGCTGCTGCGTCCAGCTCCGCGCGGCAGTGTGCCGGCACATCCTCCAACAGCAGCGGCATGCGCACGCGCTTCGCCCGCTCCTCGAGCTTCAGGAGGCACTCCCCAATGCGGAGCCGCATCTCCTTCTGCCCGCCGTAACAGCCGACGAGCTGAAGCACGGGGCCGAGAAAGGGGCGGTACTGCAGCGGAATCGGCAGCGTTCCGAGCTCCATCACCAACACACAGAAGGCATGCGCAAGGCGCAGGGTGCGCAGGTAGAGCGGGGCCCACAACTGCTTCTCCGCACGCAGGAACTCACAGTATGGCTCAATGTGCTGGTTGTAATGTATAATGGCGCACTCGTTGTGGTGCAGGGTGGCGAGCAACTCGCTGTACGTCGCTTCTAGCTGTAGGAGTTGCAATGCATCGGACACCTGTGCAGCGGCACGCTNTCCATTGGCGGTGGTGAAGGCAGAAGGAGCCTCGTGAGGGAATTTGGAGTAATAGTCTTCCGTCCTCATCAGCTCATTCACCAGCTGTCGATACTCCATTCGTAGGCGTCGCAGGGATGGAAGCAGCGTCTCATTCGTTTCCTCGAGCGCCGATGCGGCGACAAGGTACATCTGTCGTGTGTCGACAACGTAATGATCACGCTGCAGCGGTGCCACAGCAACGGTGTCGTGCCTCCTTGGCGGCTGCAGTCGGACCTGCTGCTGCTGCTGCTGCTGTTGTTGTTGTTTCTGCCGAAGCAGTTGATCCGTGAGGTGCGTGGTGGACGAGGACGAGTGCGGCACGTCACCCACAAGGGGGAGTGAAGGCGGAGTCTTCTTCGCCGTTACCGTTGCCGTTCCTGTTGCTGTCGTCGACGTCGTCTTGTCTACATTTACGTCGGACGGCACCGTTACTCGCTCATTCTGCTCATGCGACGCTAGCACAGCATAAATCGCCAGCTCCACGACAACCTTGGCGAGGATGCAGNGCTGCACCTCGACAGTTTCCTCGTTTGCCAACCTCTTAATCGTCAACGCACGCCACTGGCTCTGCTCCAGAATGGACCGCATATCAACCGAGTAGCCGATCAGCGTCTCATGACTGCGCGGTGGCTCGCCCATAACATCGCCGGCAACCGAGAGACGTTCCTGCAGATTGAGGGAAGCTACACCACTCTCCCACGAAGCCGCACTCTCGACAACTGAGAACGCACGACTCCCTCTTTCGGTGATGTCGCTACAAGAGCACGCGCTGCCACGTTGCCGAAGTCCCCGTCGCGTGACTGCAAGCGCGAGTGCATCAGTGACGACAACCCGCACGCGCGTGGTAAATGAGCGAAAGTAAAGACGCAGCGGAAGAAGCAGCGGGGTGCGCAGCTTCAGGGGCGGCTCCACCAGCGTCACAGTGCGACCACCGCCTCCGCTGTTAGCTGCATCCTGTTTCGGTTGCTCTTTCTGCCGCGACCCGGACGACAGGGGCCGACGGAACAGATCGATCGAGCCTGTGAGCTCACTCAGGTGTTGGGTGAGCCGCTTTATCCCTGGCAAGTCGTCGCCGCGAAAAACACACTTCACCCAGTGACCGCGTCTCACAAAGCAGGACTGCGGTGTGAGCA